ACTAAACCTCACACTAACCCTCCAAGTAAGTCTAACACTAACCACCCATGTTACCCTAACACCGAACTTCACACTAATCCTACCTATAATCTTAAATGAGAACTGGCTTTAGTACTGGCTTTACTAATGCACTCCTGTGACCAAAACTCAGCATGTAGCAGGCTACTATCTCTTATTTGCTGAGCACAGAGCCACACTGCAGCTTGGAGTGATCCCAACAATATTGTTGGGATCCCACTGCCTGATTGATAGCTGGCTCTGCCTCTCTAGAGCCAAACCCACCTGAGGCCTGGCCCCTGCTCCTCCCCCTCAGAGACGCACTTCCAAAGATCTTCAGCAACCCATGTCCTCCTCTGTCATGCTCCTGCACAGCACCCCTCCCTCCTTCTCTCCAGGCAGCCAGCCAGTAGTACTCCTTAATATTAATATTGGCACATCCTCCTCCAAGCTGTAGTATGTGTGACATCTATCTCCTGATTCACCAATGCTACATCTTGAAAAATTGCAGAGAATTGTCTGATCCAACAATCAGTTTGAAATGCCAGCATTATCAGGTCAATGTACAGTGTACTCCTTAATATTAATATTGGCACAGAAATTCTTGTGGAGTCAAGAAGGAGTGGAAACTTCAGTGAAAAGAACACTTCTATGGAGTCCTTAAAATATGTAGGCTGGGTGGCAGTGCGTGGCAATACCATGGTTAAGGCCCCATTCACACTAAGCGATTTATGGAGCGATTTTTGCAGCGATATCGCTCATATTTCCGCGCGATATCGCTCTATGTAGCTTCTCCAATACATTTCAATGGAGCTGTTCACATCTCGTCGCTCAATATCGCTCAATATCGCTTGTAGCTCGTCGCTGATCGCTTGTCGCTCCTACATGAGCGACAAGCTCCTGATTGCATACAGCCCAATAGGAAAAAGTCGCGCGATGTCGCGCGACACGTCGCTCAATATCGCAATATCGCTCAATTTGCATATTGCGCGACATCGCGAGATTTGCCGCGCGATGTCGCGTTCAAGCTTGCTTTGAGCAAGCTTGAATCGCGGCTAAATCCGCTCCAAAAAGGGTCCTGCTGTAGCGACACACGACCCGCGACAGCAGGACCCTTTGCCCCATTGGATTGCATTGGAGCGCGATATCGCGCGGTAATTTGCCGCGATATCGCGGGAATTACCGTGCGATAAATCGCTCAATGTGAACGGGGTCTTAAGGTGGCATCATAGTCACGAAGAACTCTCAGCCAGAGGGGCTGAGTGGCTTCATGAAGCACATACTTTTTCCAGGAAAGAGCTGGCTTTTCAGGTCTTTTCTGGATTATAGTTGGGATCCTGGAGCCAGGAGAATTGAGAGGGATGAAATCTCCATTCCTGGGTCTGGGTTTAGTAGTGAACGGCACAGGGGCGTCCCGAGGCTGGGTTGCACCTGGAGCGGTTAGCCCACATGGGCGGCCATCTTGGTGATACCTACTGGCAGTCATCTTGGTGATGGACACCGATAGAAAGAGGAGGGGACATTCATACCTTATGCCGCCGGGTCCCCTCCTCTCCCCTACAACTGTTGGGCTCTTGGTCCATGACCAAGTGCCTGACTTTTCAGAGGAGGTGACCGCAAAATGACTCATTTTGCTGAAACCCCTCCAATGGTGTCACCTGGGTGCAGGCCACACCCCCCTCGTGACGCTACTGGACCAGCACCCAATGATTGTGCACCTGTGCACTACCCTTATGAAAAGGCTGCTGGCTAATGTTCAGGGCTCCACCTGGGGGACAGGAGGACTCCATCCAGGAGCCAGAGCAGCAGGGCGCTGCGGGCGGTAAACAAGTTGTGCAGGTTAGCATAGTACTGAGTTCGTCTGGAGGAAACAGACAGTGGTCTGAGGATTGAGGCCGGAGCAGCAGTGCTGCAAGAGAAAAAACGTTAAAGGACTGGGACGCTGTGAGTGTGTGGGACAGCTTGAGAATGATGAGACAATATACCGTATTTTTCGCTCCATAAGACGCACTTTTTTCCCCCAAAAGGAGGGGGAAAAAGTGCCTGCGTCTTATGGAGCGAATCCCGACGCCCGAGACATGCAGTTCCGGGCGCCGGGCGAGTAGTAGGAGCCACTGCTCGTTTAATACGAATGATCTAACGAGATCACTCGTATTAAAGCCGAGCAGCGGCGGCGGCGATCGAGTACAGCAGCAGGAGCCACTGCTCGTTTAATACGAGTGATCTAATGAGATCACTCGTATTAAAACCGAGCAGCGGCGACGATCGAGATAACCATAGAGCAGACGAAGAATAGACGTTCTTCGCCTGCTCTGTGTCATCACTGAGAACCTGGCGCTGTAATCACGGCGCCACCTGTCTCAGCGGTCACTAACTGCAGCTTCTGTCACAGCTTCTGTCATAGAAGCTGTGACAGAAGCTACAGTCTCGAGTGCTCCATAAGGCGCGCCGGACCTCCCTGCGTCCTATGGTCCGGTGCGTCTTATGGACCGCAAAATACGGTATTTCTGTTTTCTGAAAGACAAGTGGACTTTATGTTGTGCTGCTGAAGAAAGCTATTTTCTGTTATGGAATAAATAAGACTGTCCTTTTTATGTTAAAACAGATTTGAGGCTGGTCATGAACCGCTCACCATTGTGCTAACTTTCCCAAATATCACAGCTGTTACTAAATACAGTAGTGTAGTTCATCTATCATAGTAGAAAAATAACAGTTTAAGGTGGACTGACTCCAATGAAATATTCAGGTTTTTTGATACTGATAATACATATCTGCTTCTTTTCTAGATCAAGGTTTATAAACCAGCACCTGGCAAGAAGAAGGGAAAGTTTAAAACATTTGTTAAATATGTCATGAGGACAATTTATATTGCCGGAAAAATAGCAAGTGTGGCACAAGGTGTTGCAACGCTGGCTATTACTTATGATCAATGTTAATGGATCATTAGATCATGGATGGCATTAGCCCTGCTGCAATTCATTCTTATTCACCATACTGATAAATTTCATCTAAACGGAACTCATTTTTACTGATGTCAATACATGTTCCTAAATGTTTTTATAATAAATGTGAATTACTTGAAATGTGTGCTTTTGTCTTCTTCTTTGAATCTGGCAAATTCTGGAATTCTTATGACATTTCCAGTTGCTGACCTCTACTTCAGAAAATGCTGGTTGCCGGGCCATCACATCAATCCATTATGGGTCATTGATTCTGAGTTCTGACTCACCCCAAATTTACTTCCTGCATGCTTGTACTGGGTCAATGATTCAGGAAGTACTGAAGCAAGAGACATCTACACAACAAGTGTTTTAGGAGGTCAGCATCACCAGCCTTCTTATTCTCTCTGTACTAGACATGTGTGATTTGTTTCATTCCGAATTGAAATTCGTAGGAATTTTCAGAAATTCACATGCATCTCAATTTCCAAATGAAAGAAATAACAAATCCGAATTTTTCGATTACAAAATTTCGAATGCATCCAAATTTTTTCCGAATGTCATTCGCAATAAACTTGTGCTGTTAATTGTTCAGAAAAAAAACCCAGCGTGGAGACCCCTCCCCAATTCATACCAGTGTAGTAGGAATTTTAGTGGGGACCCCAACGCCAGAACAAAAACAAAAAACAAATGCATGGGGTTCCCCCTAAAATTCCTTATCAGACCAGTGTTCTGAGAAGCAGCCTGGCAAAGCAGGGCGTGTGCCCGCCACCTCCTGCACCATACCAGGCCACATGCCCTTAACATTCTGAGGGTGCTTTGCTAGGGGGGACCCCCTGGAAAAGCACCTTGTCCCCATGTCGATGAGGACAAAGGTCTCTTCCCCAACACTCTGGTCCAGTGGTTGTAGGAGTCTCCAGTGACTCCAGTAAAGTAAGCTAGAGAGGGCTAGATTAAAGGGCAGGGTTACAGAATATATCCTCTACTCACCTCTATAAAAGAGGGGGAAGTGTTCTGTAGTCCATTAATAACACAACATATAAGCGTAAACCCAATCTACATATTAAACTAAAGGCATGCTAATTTGAGACAACGTTTTAAACTTTAAAGACCAACTCCAACCAAATATTTTCATTTATTTTTGGATACATCCGGGAAGGGTTAGCACCTCTAGTTCACCGCACATGGTACAATCTACCCATAACAATACAGTTCAAGGGGTCACCTCATTGGATACAAATTGATTGGAGAGTTTAGGTTGATCCTCATATTACATAGTTTTGATAAATCTAAGGAGATTGTAGAGTCAGATTGTAACATATACAGTATATTGTGTTTCTATTGATGTCTATGTCCATATTGCATATATTTCCCATCTCTTCCTCACCTTCTGACAATATCTTTATTGCTGTTGTGCCTCCCTGTCACGGTGACAAACATACCCCCATTTTAGAAATAAAAGGCAGACAGGGATTTTAAAACCCAACCCTGAGCTCTGTGCCCCCCCCCTTCTCACGTGCTCCCTCCAAATGTCCCCCTGGCAGTGTATTCTTATGTATTAGGTCAGTCAATTGATATGCGGTGCCTTTGTCATCTTCAGATCTTCTCCAAGCAGTTGGAAATGTTATATGATGCAGAGAGTGGCACTTACATAATGATGTAAGCCTTATTCTCTGCATCATTATATATAATATAAATACAGTGCGCTGTGATGACTTCCCCTCAAGGTGCAGGTATATGACACCCTGCACTCACAATATGTCCTCAGTTTTTCAGGTAAAAAAATGCCGGTGGGGCATTCAACTCTGAAGACTGAGGGCATCTAGTGGCAGAAAGGAGAACAGCACCGCACAGAAAGTCATTATTGCAGCCAGAGCTGCTTTCTTTTAATTTTAAACACCTCCTGGGGCCACAATTTAAAAAAAAAAACCTCCACTGTATCCAAAATGACAATTAAAATTTGGCTTGGCTTTAAGCTGCATTGTACAAATGTAAAAACTATAAACTGAACTGATAACATCGACAGCAGTGGGTGCGCTATAGGAGAAAAGTTTCAGCACACACGTTCAACCCACCATCCGCATACTTATATTTCATCATTCATTATTATTAATATTCTTGCTGGTGTCTGAACATCGATAGATGTCTCCGTACTGATCAAGAAGCCACAAAATGCCATCATCATAAGTGACGTGCTTAAATGTGCCACAGAAGTCCTGGAAGACCCATGATGTACCCAGTGGGGTAGATTTAGTGATGCCCTCCCTGCAAGAGAAAGTATTTCTTATTAGTTATATTTCCCATACAGCCTGAATATACCAATATCAAGTACGAAAAATGGAGGGCGGTGGACAGAAGTGGAGATGGTACTTGCAGTGTGCCACCAGATTCAGCT